CTGGCCTGGCTGGGTCCCGCCCGCGACTCCGGGAGGAGGGGGTCGGGCCACACGTGGGCGCGGCGCGGGGTCGGGCAGGGCGGCCGCAGCCTGGAGGAGCTGCCGCTTCTCGGGGTTCCCGTCCCGGACTAGGTTTTCGCGGGAAGCCTGATCCTCCGGGCTGCCTTGGAGTGAGCAGGCGGGACGGTCCTCTTCCCGGGAAAGTTTCTACCCCCGCCCCTGTGCCTGGGCTGAAGAGGCGTCCTCCAGCGTCCGCTGAGCGCTGGGTGTCCCCACAACTGTCCCCATCGAGTCCAGGACATGTGGGCTGGAGGTGACAGGCTCTGCTGAGGAATCTCTCTGCAGGAGTTGCAAGGTCGGGGAACAGAGCCCGAAGGCGGGGTTGCCAGCTGGAGGCTGGCCGTGCCCAGGGCACTAGTGCCACGTTTGGGGTCTTTGTGCGCAGGCCACCGTGTCCGGAAATTGCCTGGGTGGTGGGCATTAAGGGAGGAATGGGGTTGGGATTGGGTGGGCTGGAACTGGGGGCCGAGCCCTGGCTCCCCTTCTGCTCTCCTGCTCCTTCGGGCCTCTGCTGGCAGAGACCTCCAGCCAGCCCAAGCTGCCAACATGTCTGCCAGCACTGCCCCCTCTATTCCTGCCTCTGGCTGGAGGCTCGTCTGGCCTGTGTGAGGCCTGATCTATGTTGCTGCTTCCTCTGTTCCTCAGACTGGGTCTCCAGGGCCTGATTGAGGGGCTGCTGCCAGAAGCCTGGAAGTGTAGGCAGTGTTTGGGTGCCCAGCTGTGCCCTGTCTGACCTCATGGCCACCCACAGGCTGGCACCCCTTTCCTCCAAATCTGCACTTTCTACAACTGGAAGGAAGCACGGTGTTGAAGCCAAGTTCGGGCAGACTTACTCTTTGTGGAACCTTGGGAATGGGCCTGGTACAGTCTGGGTTGTCACAGGAGGCACAAACCCATGTCATGGCACCACTCCTCCAGACCCCACCCTTCTACCTCCCATGGCCCTGGCCTCTGCTCCCCAGGTTTGAAATGAGTTGATCTAAGTTCAGTACTTTGAAAAGTGCTGCTCTGTGGAAGAGTTATTTAAGTCTTTGCTCCTAGAAATATTTCTCCCACACTTAGTCTCCAAAGCTGCCCTATAATTCTAGCGGTGTTACTGGGGAGGTCCCAACCGTTGGGAGCCTAGAAATGAACTGTGGAGCTATTTTGCTTTGCAGGGAGCAGATCTGGGAATACACTCTGTCCGGGCTGAGGTAGCCCAGCTTCCTCTAATCTGTTTCCTGCTGCACTTCTGTTTCCACTCCAAGTGCTCCCTAGCCCTGTCCTTTTGTACCAGGTGGGGAGCTCAGGCTGCTTGATGGGACCTGGACTTCACCAGGAAGTTGAAGGGGAGCTTGGAGCCAGGGCCAGCCCCCTTAGTCGTCAGGGTAACAAGGAGGGGGATGAGAGAGAAGATATGAAAGCAGTTTAGGGGCTGGAGGTGTGTCACACTGGTAGAGCATTCCCATAGCACGCTAGAGGCCCTGGGTTTGGATGTCCAACACAGCTGGGTGAGTCAAAGGAGTCCCCTCCTTGGCCTTCTGGGCTGAGAAGCTTGGTTACCTTGGGAGTGCGGTGCTGCGGAAGGGGAACAGGAACTCCTTCCCCTTAAGTGGAAGGCCAGGCCAAGGAAACCCCTGGCGACTTCTACACTGTCTTTCCCGAAGCAGTGACTCAGCCCCCTCTGCTCAGAAGCAGAGTGCCTTGGCACCTCCACTTCTCAGCTTTTTTAGACTCATGAGATTTCATTTTCTGGGCAGAACTAAGAATCTGCTCTCTTCTAGAATTGTCAAAAATCCTGGAAAGGACCTCTCTCCCCAACCAGGGAGGAGCAGAGAGACCAACCCCTTTCGAGCCTTGTGTGCTATGTCCATCCTGCAATCACCCCACCCCTGCCTGGCATCCGCCCTTGCCTTGGGGCCACCCCAGCCCCCTGGGTGTCTCCTCAGAGTAGCTGCTCCAGGTGTTACCCAGTGGAGTTGGGAACAACTCTGAGTGCTCCAGGTTTGCGCTGCCCTTTGCAGGGGTGAGATCCCCTACCTCGGACTGACACAGAACAGTTGCACGTGACCAGGTTCCAGGTCCCAGGCTGATGGCGAGGGAGAGAAGAGGACCTTGGAGAGGACAGATGGGGAGAGGGGCAGGGCTAAGATGATGATCCCGATGTGGATGTCATGGCAGGTGGTAAGGACTGCCTCCTCCCCCGCCCAGCTCTCAGCACCTGCCCCTCTCCCTGACCTCTCACTTAGTGTCCTATGATACATCCTCTGCAGCAAGCTGCTGCTGAGGCTTAGCTCCTGTGTCTCATCCTCTGGACCCTCAGGATCCTTCTTTCTTGTCAAGACCGAGGCCTTGACCCAAAGTTCTTGGTTGTCATGAGGCAATGGCAGTGTCAGATTTGAATGATCGCAATCATTAGTCCACTTCTGCCCTTCATCGCCCGCTTCCTAGAAGTGCTTCCTCAGGCAAGTACTGAGCACCCTGGCCGGGCTCTGGATAGCCCTGGCCTCCGAATCTCCCCTAACCCCGCCACCTTCCTGGATACACTCAAACAAAGTGGCCAAATGGGAGCAGCAGCAAGTGACACCCCAGCCTCAGCTAGTGCCCTGGGCTTCTAATAGGAACACAGGAGTTAGGTTGGGAGGTTGCCTTCTGTGCTGTGGAGAGTGCGAATGTCCAGAGGTGCGGGTCCCTCACCTGGGGCTGCATCGCATCTCTGCCCGCTCCAACCCCAAAGCTGCTGTGTAGGATGGTGTGACTGTCTAGACGACAAAGCCCTGGGTTCTGCTTTTGAGGAGGTTGCTGCTACTTGCACTGAGGAGAGGTTTGGGTCTTGCTGGAGCCTCATTTCCCACATGGGCCTTAATTGTGAGGAAGGCCGGGTGACAGAGCCAGGAGCAGCTGAACCAGTAGGATGAGATCCTTCTTTCTTCCTACCTGCAGCTTTAGTCAGGCCTGGGTTGGGGGTCAGGACTCTAGGTCCTGCTTTCTTTTTTGTGGGGAGGCAGCTGGAAGAGTTCAGGTACCAGTTTCCAGAGAGCGAGGCCAACATGCATTTGTGTCTCCCTCGTGGGCCCAGACCCTTCTCCAAGGTGCAAGCTGTGGCCAGGTCACTTGTGCCTGGTCTCCCCAATGTAGCGGCATAAGAGTCCTAATGCAAGGGGACTTTAGAAAATATCAAAAAGGGGTACCATTTATCACACAAGCACTTATTAGAAGCCCAGCTTAGCAATTTTTTTTTTTTTTAACGTGCTAGGCACTTATTTACATCCCTTCATATTAGCCTCAGATCTTAAGCCCATTTATAAAGGAAGAAGCAGAGGCTGGGAAGATTAAACCACTGAGCTGAGGTCACACATCTCTTATTAAGCAGCCAGACTGGGACTCAGACCAGCCTTTTTCCAAAACCTGCACTTTTCTCAGTCCTCTTCTCCACTGTGCCCCTGCACTGGAGCTTGTCTGATCTGTCATCAAAAAAGAAAGGGGCCCTGGACTTGAAGGTGTGAAGGGTTTTGCCCAAGGGCACAATGATAAAGTGATAAAGGCAGAACATAAACCCAGGCTTCAGGGTGGAAACCTGCATCCTTGCCCTGCCCATACACTGAACTTGGACTTCTCAGCCCTCTCAGTTGGACCGGCCAGAGTTCCCTCCTCACTCCTTCCTTCCCTCCACCCTGCTCCCCTCCTTGCCGGCCCCTCCCAGCCCCCACCTTCCCGCTTTCCCGGCTTTCCCGCCTGTAATTGCTTCCATCTGGCCTGCCTGCCGGCTCCTATTCCTTGGGAAGGCAGTCCCGGCCGCCCACATGGCTGCAAGGCCTCATCCGGCAACCACAGCGACACGTGGGGAAGGGGAGGGGCCCTACGGGGTCCCAGCACAGGGAACCCGCCAAGGTGGCTGCTGCAGTGCTTGGCATTCCCAGATTCCTGCCAGGTAT